GTGTCTGCCGGTTATCTCCACTAATCCTCATTACAACCCTGAGAATACTCCAACAGACAACCGTGGCAGGTCAAAGGTCAGCACCAGACAATGAGATCGCCATAGCAACCGGCTGTGCTGAAGACCTCTAATGCAGTGTGTGTGAGAGGGGGAGAAGGGGAGAAGAGGAGCTGAGACCTGACTGCAGCGTCTGCTGGGACAAATCACTCTCACTTTACATTAAGATGGTTCCTTCTGAGAACAATGGGGGGGTTTGCTGCCTGGTGGCCTAAAGTACAAGCTGTAAAAAAAACACATAAACATGCACATGTATGCATTTGACACAAACATAAAGGTAAGAATCATTCACATGCACACAGACACACGCAGCTTTGAATATCTGTTACAAAGCAAACAGGCACTGCTGGGTGCTGCAGGCTGCCTGTCCTCCCTACCAGAGCGCTGTCTGAGGGATCGGCAAGTGTTGTCCTGATGCACGTGTGAAATCAGCGGGGAAACTCCTCTGGCGAATGCATTGCAGTGCAAAAAGGACCAGTGGAAGAAGTGCAGGAGATAAATCAGTTTGCAGGAAGAGCTGGGCAGAACTGGCTAGCTGACTGGAAGCATGCAGGCTACTATTTGTAAAAGTATAGTGTCCATCTGCAGCAGTATTGTACTGACTGTACTGAATCCTTCCTTTGCTATGTAATTGTGGTGCAGGTGCACCTCAAACGTACCCTTGGATTTGATAAATACAGTGACGGAAGGAGAAACCAGCACTCACAGATAATAGTGAACAATACTGTCTTTTACATTTGTCTAAGGCAAGTCACGCGTACTCTAAGGTTTTCACATTTAAGTTGAAGTAATTTGTGCTTTTCTCAAGTGCACATAGTTTACAGGTAAATTACAGGTATAAATAAAAATGTTTAGAAGTTTACAACCTGGGACACAAAGATACAGTGTCTGGGACAGTAGAGAAATGTATCATTACTAATGAAATCATTACATTTATGTGTCATGGAATACATTTTAATTGTTATTAATTGTTTAATTGTTGTTGCACAAATTAAAAAAATGTGAGGCGGCATCGGCATGAGCTGTACGCTATTTCAGAAGCACGCTTACACACACAAAATCAATCATAGAGAGACAGTGTTGCCAATCTGGTTTCCAGCTACATTTAGCGACTCTTAGCGACTTTATTTCTAAAAAGCAACTACTGAAAAATGTAGCAACTTATTCAGACTACCAGGGGAAAGGCAAGAAATATATTCAAATATATTATATTGTAATTCATTCCCATGTATGCTGCTCAGAGTAATCGCAGTCCATGGCTCTTCTGCCAACAGCGCCGGGGTCTCTCCCTCTCCTCTTGTGCCGTACGCAGGCAGTCAGTAGGCGTGGCGTGAGGCACATTTGACCTTTTCTACCGCTCTTTCTCTCCGGATCTCTGGATTAGGATGTTCCTTTAACTTGTATGTAAATAGTTCATTTGAGCTTGTAAATATTTAAATAGTTTGTTTTATTTTCCTTCTCCCTTTGTGGATTTTTTTAATATCCTTTTTTAGTTCAAATATACAACGTCCCTGTTTTCAGTTTGTGATTATTTGGCTAACTAATAATAATATTCAAAGTGTGTCTAAGTAAATTTCCATCACCGTATACCAATCAGAAACAGGTTTGTATTTGCACTGCAGTTTGTAGTGATGCGTTTTTTGATTGAACAGTGAGAAATAAACAAGAAACAGGAACTCAAATGACTAAAAGTATAATCATTTTCAATATTCATTCAGATATAAGTGTACAGAACAACTAGCAGAGCTTCAGTGGAGGACCAGAGTGAGTCAATGAGCTAGGAAACAAAGCTTTTAAACTATATTCATTATGTTCAGTTTGGGACAATGGTTGGAAAATCGGAGACAATTGAAAGTACAATTCCAGACAGAAAGTGAAATTCGGGACTGTTGTGGGACACTGAGGAAAAATAATATTTTGAGCCCTGGGCAACTCTTTACACAATGGGTCACTTCCTCTTTGTTCAAATGCTGATGACGGCTGTTTGTTATGACGTATTTGTTTGTACTATTTCGCTGATATGTGAATGTTAAAAACATTATCTGTGAGTGCAGACATGTCCATTGCTAGTCCATAAAAAAGTGAGTCAGTTATGCAGCCTACAGCTCCAAACATGTCAGGACTGTTTCAGTCAAATTCACCCAACAAGTATGGGAGCTTTTGCACTGTATGAACTGTTTAGTATTTTGTTTTTGGTGTGTATGTGTCAGCGTGCGTGTGTCCAGGTCCCTGCCTTGTCCTCGCTGCCCAATACAAGGCGAGGCCACGAGGGGGCTATCAAGCCTGAGTGAAACCAGACATTTTTAGGAAAAGGAAAGCTCCCCTCTCTCTCTCTTTCTTATAAACACACAAAACATGGAAGCTCACAGGTTTCCTTTTTTAGACAGTTTGTAGTGTTTTTGTATTTCGTCTTCATATATATATACATAACCCAGTCTGTGTTGAGTTTTGTGTGTAGTTTTGCACAGTATGTTATCTAAAACCAATCCCCAGCCCCACCAACCATAGTAACTCACCGTGGTAAAGCCAGGAAAAGACTCCACATGCCACTGCATGAACTTGTCTGGCCTTTTTTTTCACAATCTTAAGGACATTTGTTGAAAGGGTGTGTGAGCTTGATCAGCAAGACTGGCCAGAAAATGTTAACATATTACTCACACTACTCACACAGTGTGGTTTCTTTAGTTATACATTTATATACAAGACAAGAGGTTACCTTGCTCCACCTGTTCTGCATCTAGAATGAAGTTAAGGATGGATTTGGGGATTTAACCTACAGCTCATCACGATGATAGCTGTCCAGACAGTGTCAGCTCGCAGCGCCTGGTGGAGGCTCCACCCATGTAATCTCACAGAATCAAACTCAAACCTGTTCTCAAACCACAAACACAGATAGTGCTGTATATACCAGTGTGATGTCAGTTAAGAGAAATGGACAAACAACAACTGGCTCGGTTGTGAATGAGGATCTGCACGTCTGTCATTTACCTTCAGTGTCACTCAGATGCCACGATATGATCCACGTTTAGTAAAATGTTTATTTGACTCTGCCACACATACACACACACACACACACACACACACTGACCCACATTTCAGGGTATTCCAAATAATGTATTCGTAAATCTCTGCCTGGCCTAAACTTCACCTCCCCCTCCCCTCTTATATGCGGAAACAGTGCACAAAGGTCATCACTACTGATACTACAGGTGTTATATAATCAGCCCTAATCAGCTATTGCCCCTGCTATGACTCTGACGGCTCGGCCCACGCTTGCACACACTAGACCACAGCGCCACATGGACCCTCACTCACACTCACAGTTGCTCACACAGAGCCCTCCCCCAGCCACATGGACACCACTGAACTATGTACATGGTTATGTAGCTCTTGTAGCCAGCTGCCGTAAGGAACTCTTATTCCCACCTGCCAAAATGGATAAGAAGAGGTCTGTTAGCCTTCTGTCCCTTTATGACTATATGTTACAGGCTGTTTCACATGCTGCATACACAGAGCGACATTATAATGGGTAGAATAAACCAAAGGAACCAAACCAAAACAATGAAGAGGCTCCAAATCTGGGTCGAGCTGCAGAGTCGGGTGACAATCCTCTGCTTTCACGGTGTACGTAACGCTGTAAATAATGCAGCTTTAAAGACGATTACAGAAACACAAAAGTAAACAGACACTAAAGTCAACAATAATTGTTTTCTTTTGGCCGCTTGGGGGCGGCGGGAACACGTTAGGCACACAACATTGGTGCATCATCACCTTTAAAGATGACACGCGAACCTGATAGCAAACAGCTGCTTATATAAACATCCAGCAGTTACAGAGCAACATTATCATTCATTTAGAGTCGTGCTCCTCTTTATCTGATGATTGTAAGTCCAATATTTTCTCTGTTAGCTTCGTATTTGGGCTCTAATTACAGAGGGTGTGTGGCTCTTTAGCTGCTAAATGCTCCACTGTGTTCACTAGTTAGTTGCTAATTGTGTCTGTCGAGGGGAGCTGCAGATTCAGGTGATCACTTTCTGTCGGTTCGTCACTATGAGTCACCCCTTTCACATTGCCACATTATGATTTGACAAAAAAAAACAGCAATTACAACCCCTTTAAAAACTGAAAGGAAAACAAAAAAGGGCCTCTCTTAACGAGTGCTCTGGTCGTTTATTGTGTTACTGGTTTCTCTCTACTAAAATATGCATTCACAATGCCATTCAGTGCCACTGTGCAAAAACATCCGGCTGAAATTGGCTTTAATTACATACCCATCCGCGCACACACAAGCACGCACATACACACAGTCGCCATGTGCAGCTCATAAAATAGCTTATTCTCTTGCTTGCACAATAGAGGGCACAATCACACACAAACACACACACACACACACACACAAAAACAGACGGATACTCCAACCACGTGCTGGGCTGCTGCTGGTCATGTGACAGCGCCTTCCACTCCACCACAGGGCATCATCAACACTCAAGTCGTGCATGCATTCACACCTGATGCTCTATACACGCACAAGCACTTCCCCTTTTATCACCAAATGCATTCCCTAACATGGAACAGGAAACACCGTGAAGTGAAGTGTGCAGAGTCTGTTGAAACCAACCACAAAAAACGTGAATCACAATGTGAAAGCGAAACTTTCTGTCTCAACTGTTTGGCTCACGCAGCTCTCCATTATTGTTGCTGGGAAACCTCGGAGATCAAAAGCAATACTGTCAGATGGTAGCAACCACTCTTTTTTCAGTCGCTTCAGATCAGCTGTTTTTGGACGCAAAAAAGAAGCTCCAGTAAATTCCCACTCAAAACATTACTAACTACATACTAATTTTACCTCCTTGAGGGAGCGAACTCGACCTGACTGCAATAAAAACACTAATGTGTGGCTATTAAATGTAATTTAAACGCATGCAGTGTAATTTAAGCCTCACCTGTGCAGCAGAGACAGCGAGGGGAGACGAAGCTCTTCTCCTCAGCTCCACACACTTCCTCAGCTTACAGATCTGGTGGCCAGTCCTGCGGTTGAGGCAGCAACTGCACTGGCCACAGCTGATCTTCCTCAGGCACGGCTCGCACGTCCCACACCTGCTACGCTTCTTCCTCTCTTTCTTCTGTTGTTTCCGAGCGGTCCAGGAGGTCAAGAAGGCCGCCTCCGGCCCCCAGGATCCAGGTAGAATAGAGGGGCTGGCCTCTCCGTATCCTGCCTCGGATTCAGTGTCAAAAGAAAAAGAGGAGCGAGTGCTTTCTGAGCTACAGGAGAAGGTGGAGCTGCTGTCCAGAGATGGAGTCAAGATCTTTGGCACTGAGTCCGGCTCTGGCACTGCGACCACAACACTGGCCTCACTGAGGTTTGTTTCGCTCTCAGCTGTAACGACATCTACGCTCAACTGAGGACTTACCGACAATGACAGCGAAGAAGTCTCTCTCTGGCTGCAGCGCGCCAATGGCTCTTGATTGGATTCACTATCTTTGGTCTGAGTCTCTGCTGGTGTGCAAGCGTGTCTTTCTCCCTGAGGAGAGGGGATCTCTGGGCTCAGCAGGTGGCGGGGTTCCCCCTGGCTCGAATCCCTCAAGATCCTATGTTTAAGGGAGTCACTACGGATAATAACAGGTCTATTTCTTTTCACTAGAACAGTATGCAACGTCGGGGCAGTTTCAGCAACAGCCGAGCACCCTGGGAGTTGAGGTTTAGCACCATGAATAGTAGGTTGCATGTCTGTCTTACCCTGGCTCAGGACCTCGAGCTCACGTGACTCTGAGGTGGAGGGGGCTTTGGTGGGATTTGAGGTAGCTGCCGAGACAGGTGACCCACTTACAGGTGAGTCTGACTGTGCTGTCAGTCCATCTGGAGGTGGAGGGGCTGGAGGGCTGCGGTGGGAGTCAGCAGGGTTGATGGACGCATCATTCTCCTTTTCAATTCTTCCTCCCTCTTCTTGCTCAGCAGTCTCCTCCATCTCCTCTTCAACTGCTTTCTCTGCCTCCAAACTCTCTCCTCTCTCATCGTCTATCTCCTCTTTTATCTCAGCGACAACTATCGCTCTTTCATCTGCCCTGTTTTCTTTCGAGTCCAACGCGTTACCTTCCTCTTGTCGGACAGCACGCACGTCATCTTCCTCACCACTACTGGTGAGCTCATCAAGCTTATTTCCAAAGACAGATGAACTGTCGTTTCCCTCGCTCCCACCCTGCACACCTGCTGAGCCCTCGGAGGGGTCTTCACTTCTGTCACAGCAGAGTTTCAGCTGTCCATCAACATCATCGCACACCGAGGCCCCGATCACACGCACCGGCTCGTCTTCGCTGTTGTGGCGGACAGTCTTCTCGTCTCGTTGGGTTATAGCGCCGTCACAGCTGCCCTGCACACAGTCTTCCAGTGTGTCGTTGCACGGCGGTGAATCTGCTTTAAGCGGGCTGCCCTGTTTAGCGTTGGTGACTCCTAGACCCCGATCTTCGATGCTCACGGGAACTTCAAAATCAGTTTTCAGGGAAACTGGAGGGATTTCTTCGGCATCACAGGCGTCCAGTTTCTCATCCTCCTCGTCGGGAGTCGAATCGTCGACACCGGTGCTCGGCGGCGGCGGTTTTCTTGTGTTTATTTTCTGTGACGCTGCCCCTCTCCCTGCTCTCCCCCTCCCTCCTCTGCAAGGTTTGGGAAGCTGGCAGGGAGTAACAGTAACCCCTGTGCCCCGCAGGGACTTCCTTCGCCCTAGGGGGTCTTGTAATTCACCACAGCGGTCAGGCAGATTGCTCGTCTGCTTAAGCCTTGCAGATCCTGTTACAGTCAGGCCATGGTTAACTGTGCCAGGACCCTGACCCCCTCTTCCACGGGGGCTTCGGCCTGACTGCGCCTGCGCCTTGGCTGTTGACCTTTTGTCCGCAGGTGTTTTCTGGGGCCTCTCTGTGGCTCTTCCTCTGGGTTTATTGGAGTTGCAGGTCTGCCTCTTGGTGCTTATCACTTTCTGGACGCTCTTCCTCTGAGCAGGTGTCTGTCTCCTGGCGGATTTGGTAGTAGCGGGCATGGCTGAGGGTGTGAAGGGGAGGATTTTTGGCAGCCAGCATGGGAGCCAGGTGAATGTTTATCCTTTGCTCAGCACGCAATTTTGTTTTTGTTTTTTTTTTCGTCTCACTCTTCCGTGTTTTATACTTGAATTGCAAATTATGATGCTGTCGTTATTGTGTAATTGCAGGGCATGACCTATAAAGAGAGTAAACAGGGGGGGGGGACAAATCTAAATACAGATACTCTGAAAACAAAACAGTCTAAAACATCAGGTGCAATTTGATTTGACAACAGCTATGGAGCTAAAGCTGTAAAAAAAAAAAAAAAAAAAAAAAAAAAAAAAAAAAAATTGGTTTTGTCTGTCTGAAATGTCACTTGTGCCCCGCCTGAAATATCTACTCGGGCAAATAAGTGCTGTAAGGTTGAGAAAATTAAATGCACATATACATAATAGATTATAATTCAGTTCAGAGGAGCTAAACAGAAACAAATACCACAGCTGCCTGTGTGGCTATTACAGCTTTAACAGTTTAAAGGGCAGGCATGTTGAGGAGTGGGCTCTGGCCGGAGGTCGGATCCTGTTTTTGTCTCTCTGACTGGCGGAAGAGAGGCTTATTACCGTGTAAAAACGCCTTCAACGTCGCCGTTTATTATTATTACTGCCCTTGACCGCTGTCATTTAAAGCGCCGTGTACATGTTGGTTGTTTCGCCGCTCGCAAGTTTTTTTATTTACACGTTTACGACAGAAATGCTTTACATACCAGAGATAGACAGTTGCACTGTCTGAACTGCTAATAATACTCCGCTCCAGCGAGACAGCGAGACCTTGTATTGGTTTCCCTCCTCGGCAAATATAGACTGCTGGCAAGTTCAATCCTCTCACGACGATGACACATGGACATGATACAGGCACCGACATGAACAAACATCGAGCGGAACAAGTTGGTTTTCAGCACGCACCGTGTAAGCCTTTTTTTTATTTTTTTTTTTTTTTTGCGGAGCACGACAACACGTTGAAAAATGTTAACGCTAAAATCCCTCGTATGTCAATCCAGGGCAGCCCCGCTCACTCTCCCTCCAACAGACGTAACCTACAGTCTCCACTGGCCAGAGCCCCGTCGACGGCCAGTGGAAAAGAAAACCTGGACTGGAGTCTCACACAGCTGTCTGTTTTTTATTTGTTGCCTCCCAGCGACTGTGTGTTTTAGCACAAGTGTACGCAGGAGGGAGCTACAGTGAGTGTAACGGTATCACCACAGCAACGGCAGTTGGTGCGTTCATAGCTGACGTTAGGTAACCGTTTATTGCGCGTTAATGTCGGTTTTATTTTTATTTATTTATTTATTTTGTATTTATTTTTTTTATTTAAAGGGGGGGGGGTTAAATTAAACAAGCAAGAGTTTTGTGTATAATTTATAACGCTATTAATATTAAAATTAATCTCACCAGCGACTTACGTTGTGAATTATATTGTACATTCAATAACACTCATTTACGGCGCCTTCCCCGTCCCCTCGGGATGACGCCACGCCACGTCATTAACGTGCGACTGTTTTCGGACAGACGTCGTCAGTCGGTAGCGGGCGAAGGGCACGATGCGCTTCACGTTCATTCATAACTGCGGCTTGTGTCTTGTTTTCTACTTGGACCGGTGAACGACGAGCTTCTCGGAGATACCGCCGGGTGTCCACGGTTAAAAGTAACGTCAGGGCGCTTAGAAACAGTCGGGTTTGTCGCGAGGAAGTAAGGAAACGAGAGAAGCTGGAAACTCACCGAAGATTTGCTGGAACAGATTTCAACACATCGATCTTTCTCTTTGCTCCATTTGGCCCCGATAGCAACAGTTATTCAGATTATCTTGTGAGTATCCCTCCCGTGGTTTGCCAGCCGTAGTGCTGATATGTTATGTGCTGTCTGACACCAGTACCTTCATGCTCATATCTGACTCTAATGTATATAAAGTATGCATTACATTAATGC